GAGGCCTTGCAAGACTGACTGCCTCTGGCAAGTCTTGCCTGTGGCCAGAGCCATGATGGGACTTGTAGTACTTCAACAGCTGGAGGGCCACAGTTTGGAGACGCCTGCTCTAGACAGAAACAAGACGTTTACCAATGCAGTGCAGGTACGGCCCCATTGCATGAGGGGAAAAAAATAAAAACAAACTGGCCAGAGTTCCGCTTTAAGTTTATCTGGATACAGCGACATCGTCCCTTTCTTCCCCATTGGCTGGAATCAAAGTGATTGTAAATCTCAGACATGAAACATGAACAAAGCACATCCCTCTATAGTGTGTACTCGGACAACTTCCGCTTCCAATCGCCTAGGTCAGGGGTGGGCAACTGTGGCCCTCCAGCTGTTGTAGAACTACAAGTCCCATGAGGCATTGCAAAACTGACAGTTACAAGCATGACTCCCAAAGGCAGAGGCATGATGGGACTAGTAGTTCACCAACATCTGGAGGGCCAAAGTTGCCCACCCCTGGCCTAGGTGATGGCAATAAAAAGTTAAAGCGGAGCTCCACCCAAAAGGGGAGGTTCCTCTTTAAGCCTCCCCCCCCACTCCACATTAAGGATTGCCACCTTTTGGGGGGGGGGGGGGTACCCCTATTAGACAGGTACCCCGCTCCCACTTCCGCTAAAGAGGTGATAGGCAATATACCCACAAAGGACGAATACGTTGAAAGCTCATCATAGAAGAAGGGCACTGTCCAGTCCACATGGCATGACTGTCCACAACAGGAACCCTGGACCTCGACAGACTAACGCGTTTCGAGGACGCGCCTCTTCCTCAGAGCCCATGGAGGCAAGTGAAGCACTGGAATGTGCGGTTCCCAGCATACAGCCTGATGTGAATGAGCCCCTGAAGTATATGAAGAAACCAGCACTGGCAGAGGCAGGAGGCTTCTCCTGGTGAGGAACCTCTTCCCACAGTCCCTGGAGCCCATCCATCATATATTCCACATGTTGAGGAGGAGACCCCAGAAGGAGGACCCCAGAGAGTACGCTCCATCCGCAGGCTCCTCCGTTACCTCATTACTAAAGATTAACCCCTCACTGGTGACACCAGAGGATGCCTCCGCCCAGAGGAGCGGGCAAATCAAGCCCCACTCTGGGCTTCCCAACGGGCAGGACGCGTCACACGAGGCCCAGCTGACCGGCAAAGCTCTGATTACGTCACAAAACCCCAAGACAGACATTCCCCCAAATCTCACACCTCAGTGACACCGAGGATAGACAGCTCTATTCTTTTATATTAACTGGGACATAGAAACTATGAAACCTGAGGATGAGCACAACAGCTCTACTTCTGTACACTTCACCAAAACCAAAGGCTTCATATCAACATCATCATAGAATCTACCAGAAGGGAAAGAGAAGAGCCCCATTAGATGGCCATTCCACCCAGGAAGGAGTAGTGTTTGGGTGTCCAGTCCCCACAAATCCCCACAAATCCCCACAACCAACGGCCATGGAGGGAGGTAATGGGGGATATCTACCAAAACTGCAGTGCAAAATCTGGTGCAGGTCAGGGACTCTACTTCTCCCCTCCCTCCAAACCCCGCCCCCCCAGCTCCTTCCTGCACCCTCTGCTCCTTCTCCCCAATGTGATCAGTATCTCCTGCCCCCCCGCTCCTTTTCCCCAACCTGATCAAAGTCTCCTCCTCTCCTGACCCCCCCCCCCCCCCCCCCGCTCCTTCTCCCCAATGTGATCAGTGTCTCCTCTCCTGATCCCCCCCCCCGCTCCTTCTCCCCAATGTGATCAGTGTCTCCTCTCCTGCCCCCCCCCCTTCCCCCAATCCTTCTGATCAATGTGATCAGTGTCTCCTCTCCTGTACCTTCTGCTCCATCTCCCCAATGTGATCAGTGTCTCCTCTCCTGTACCCTCCCCCCCCCCCCCGCTCCTTCTCCCCAATGTGATCAGTGTCTCCTCTCCTACCCCCCCTCAGCACCCCCCCCCCCCCCCGCTCCTTCTCCCCAATGTGATCAGTGTCCTCCTCTCCTGTACCTTCCCCCCCCCCCCCCCCCCCGCTCCTTCTCCCCAATGTGACCAGCGTCTCCTCTCCTGTCCCCATGTGATCAGCGTCGCCTCTGCTGCCCCCCCACCCCTTCTCCCCAATGTGATCAGTTTCTCCTCTCCTGCCCTCCCCCCCCCTCTCCTCCCCAATGTGATCAGCGTCTCCTCTCCTCCCCCCTCCCCCCCCCCTCCTTCTCCCCAATGTGATCAGCGTCTCCTCTCCTGCCCCCCCCCCCTCCTTCTCCCCGTGATCAGTGTCTCCTCTCCTACTCCCCCCCCCCCCCCCCCTCTTCTCCCCAATGCGATCAGTGTCTCCTCTCCTGCCCCCCCACCCCTGCTCCTTCCCCAATGTGATCAGCGTCTCCTCTCCTCCCCCCCCCCCCATGTGATCAGCGTCGCCTCTGCTGCCCCCCCCGCCTCCTTCTCCCCAATGTGATCAGTGTCTCCTCTCCTGCTCCCCCACCCCCCACTCCCTCCCCAATGTGATCAGTGTCTCCTCTCCTGCTCCCCCCCCCCCCCCCCCGTCCTTCCCCCAATGTGATCAGTGTCTCCTCTCCTCCCCCCCCCCCCCCCCCCCCCGCTCCTTCTCCCCAATGTGATCAGTGTCTCCTCTCCCCTCCCCCCCCCCCCCCCCCCCCCCCTTCCCCCCAATGTGATCAGTGTCTCCTCTCCTGCTGCTCCCCACCCCCCCCCTCCTCCCCAATGTGATCAGTGTCTCCTCTCCTGCTCCCCCCCCCACTCCTTCTCCCCAATGTGATCAGTGTCTCCTCTCCTGCCCCCCCCCCCCCGCTCCTTCTCCCCAATGTGATCAGTGTCTCCTCTCCTGCTCCCCCCCCCCCCCCCACTCCTTCTCCCCAATGTGATCAGTGTCTCCTCTCTCCCTGCCCCCTCCCCCCCACTCCTTCTCCCCAATGTGATCAGTGTCTCCTCTCCTCTCCTGCCCCCCCCACTCCTTCTCCCCAATGTGATCAGTGTCTCCTCTCTGCTCCCCCCCCCCCCCCACCCCCCACCTTCTCCCCAATGTGATCAGTGTCTCCCCCCCCCCCCCCACTCCTTCTCCCCAATGTGATCAGTGTCTCCTCTCCTGCCCCCCCCCCCCCCACTCCTTCTCCCCAATGTGATCAGTGTCTCCTCTCCTGCTCCCCCCCCCCCCCACTCCTTCTTCCCCAATGTGATCAGTGTCTCCTCTCCTCCCCCCCCCCCCCACTCCTTCTCCCCAATCCTTCTCCCCAATGTGATCAGTGTCTCCTCTCCTGCTCCCACCCCCCCCCCCACTCCTTCTCCCCAATGTGATCAGTGTCTCCTCTCTCTGCCCCCCCCCCCCCCCCTCCTCCCCAATGTGATCAGTGTCTCCTCTCCTGCCCCCCCCCCCCCCCACTCCTTCTCCCCAATGTGATCAGTGTCTCCTCTCCTGCCCCCCCCCCACTCCTTCTCCCCAATGTGATCAGTGTCTCCTCTCCTGCCCCCCCCCCCCCCCCCTCCTTCTCCCCAATGTGATCAGTGTCTCCTCTCCTGCCCCCCCCCCCACCACTCCTTCTCCCCAATGTGATCAGTGTCTCCTCTCCTGCCCCCCCCCCCCACTCCTTCTCCCCAATGTGATCAGTGTCTCCTCTCCTGCCTCCACCTTCTTGAAAAACTTTGAGACTTCAGAACTACATTAAAATTCATGAAAGTATATTTTTTTCCCAAAAAAGTTGTGTTCGATCTGCTTCTGTACAAATACCGTGTCACGTGGCAAAGCCACCATTTCATTCTCGAGGGTCTCTGCTAAAAACATATATAAAATGTTAGCAAGGTTCCAAGTAATTTTCTAGCAAAACATTACTAAATTTTTACATATAAACAAGTGTCAGAAAAGGCCAGGACTTTAATTGGATAATGTATGGCCTGCCTTAGGCCAACCACGCAGAACGACACGAATAACTCGTTAAAAAAAAAAAAAAAATGTGAAAAGTGTGCAATGCCTTTCTGGGGGCCAATCCCAGTAAACACGAGGGCCCGAGGTGCTGTCCCGCCTGGTTTACCTCCCGTTTATAAAAGAACAGATGTTTGACTCTCATGGTTTCTCACACAAGCAGATTTTTCCAGCAATGCCGGCTGGCTGCAGACGTGGAACATTCCCCGGTATTATTGCAGAAAAATGACGGCAATAAATTTTTTCTGCCTTCGGGGAAGACAATAAACAGACGCATAGCAGGAGCATCCTTCACAAAGTTCCACTCCGACACCAAATTCTTCACATCGGAAACCGAATCCCGGCAGACCTGAATGAACCCGGATCGGAGCAGAGATTGGCCGAACCCCATTCATAGGAGAGTTGTGTGCAATCTGAGCTCATGACACAATGATTCTCCCATGTGTGCGCTTCATACACCCCCCCCCCCCCGTCCAGGAACACATGGAGCACGTCCCAGGAGGGAGGACTTCATTCCTGGTCAGGATTTATCAACCATGACATGACAGAGGACATGGAACCTCTACGTGTGTCAGAGGCAGGAGGACCCAATACAAAGCAGTCTGTATATACAGAGAGGGATGACAACCTTTACTAAGCACAATATAGAACCAAATGTAGTCCTTCTTAAAACCGTAATGGTGTCCAGACCAGCCTGTCAACCCATCAGAGGAACCCCTAAAATAATTCAGGTGAAACCAAAAAACAAATTCCTCGGGGGTCAGTGGGAACAATGTCCCTTACATTGGGGGTCAGTGGGAACAATGTCCCTTACATTGGGGGTCAGTGGGAACAATGAAATGTCCCTTACATTGGGGGTCAGTGGGAACAATGTCCCTTACATTGGGGTCAGTGGGAACAATGTCCCTTACATTGGGGGTCAGTGGGGAACAATGTCCCTTACATTGGGGGTCAGTGGGAACAATGTCCCTTACACTGGGGGTCAGTGGGAACAATGTCCCTTACACTGGGGGTCAGTGGGAACAATGTCCCTTACACTGGTGGTCAGTGGGAAGAATGTCTCTTACATTGGTGGTGAGTGGGAAGAATGTCCCTTACATTGGTGGTCAGTGGGAAGAATGTCCCTTACATTGGGGGTCAGTGGGAAGAATGTCCCTTACATTGGGGGAGGGTGGGAAGAATGTCCCTTACATTGGGGGTCAGTGGGAAGAATGTCCCTTACATTGGTGATCAGTGGGAAGAATGTCCCTTACATTGGTGATCAGTGGGAAGAATGTCCCTTACATTGGGGGTCAGTGGGAAGAATGTCCCTTACATTGGGGGTCAGTGGGAAGAATGTCCCTTACATTGGAGGTCAGTGGGAAGAATGTCCCTTACATTGGGGGTCAGTGGGAAGAATGTCCCTTACATTGGTGATCAGTGGGAAGAATGTCCCTTACATTGGTGATCAGTGGGAAGAATGTCCCTTACATTGGGGGTCAGTGGGAAGAATGTCCCTTACATTGGGAAAAGTCAGTGGGAAGAATGTCCCTTACATTGGGGGTCAGTGGGAAGAATGTCCCTTACATTGGGGTCAGTGGGAAGAATGTCCCTTACATTGGGGGTCCCTTCAGTGGAAGAATGTCCCTTACATTGGGGGTCAGTGGGAAGAATGTCCCTTACATTGGTGGTCAGTGGGAAGAATGTCCCTTACATTGGGGGTCAGTGGGAAGAATGTCCCTTACATTGGTGATCAGTGAGAAGAATGTACCCCTTACATTGGTGATCAGTGAGAAGAATGTCCCTTACATTGGTGATCAGTGGGAAGAATGTCCCTTACATTGGGGGTCAGTGGGAAGAATGTCCCTTACATTGGGGGGGTCAGTGGGAAGAATGTCCCTTACATTGGGGGTCAGTGGGAAGAATGTCCCTTACATTGGGGGTCAGTGGGAAGAATGTCCCTTACATTGGGGGTCAGTGGGAAGAATGTCCCTTACATTGGGGGTCAGTGGGGAAGAATGTCCCTTACATTGGGGATCAGAAAGCTCTCCCCTGCCACAGCTCAAGGAACCCTTAGCAACCTCTGGAGGAACCCTGGTTGACAATGACTGGCCCAGCCTACAATGCTTTGAAAAAGTCTTTTTCCACGTCATGTTACAACCAAAACCGTAAATGTATTTTATTGAGATTGTATGTGATAAACCAACACAAAGTGGCCCATAATTAGGAAGTAGAAAGAAAATGATTTTCAAAATTTTTGACAAAAAAAAAAAAAAAAAAAAAAATGTGAAATGGTGTTTATAATGTCTCTGTGATTAAAACATGAAAATGCACTTCTCCACAATGCCCGTAGCTACAGAGGAGAATGTGGGCTTGCCTTAAAATGCCTTTACAGATTGTCCAGTATATGTAGATACCTTCGTGCGCATAGTATGGCCTCCAGTTCACTTTAAAGCCCAAGTTAAAGCAAAAAAAAAAAATCAGCAAAAGGGAAAGCACCTGTTTGTCAATGAGAAGTGCCCCTTGTGCTGATGGCTGCTGCTTTAGTTAAAATCCAAAAGTCCTCTGAACCTTCCCTATATCCAGAGAGCCATAATGTTCAGGTGCGGAAGGGTTTAATAGAGCCGGGGGACCCGTCTTCTGCATTCATCAAATTGCCTACTATGCCTGCCCTATTTTGATCCTCTTCATTCACAGAACCTGTACTATAGCTTCCATGAAGGAAAAACAGTGAATAGAGGAGGCGGACCTTTCATTCATCCTCCCATTGTCCACTCACAGATCTTATTTAATTCGTCGAAGCTATATCACAACTTCTGTGAATGGAGGAGGGGGGCAGGACGGGCACTGACAGGTGCTTGTCACTGGTCCAGAACTGGTATGAACTCCCGCCGCATCAGAAGATTACAACAGTGGGGTATAGGAGGGCCGAGGACTGAAAAGGTTTCAGTATGACAGCCGGCACCAGAACTTTGCAGTAAATGTAAAGAACATCCCTTGTTCTGATTTCTAAAATAAAAATGTCTTTACTAACTCTGGGTGTTCTACACAAATGGTCATCATTGTACAAAGGGCGTGTACAACATTCATGGAAAGAAAGCCGTGCTTCTACTTAACAAAACAAACTGTAGCTGCTGACTTTAAAACAAAACAAAAAAAAAAAAAAACCCCACACTCAAACGTCCTAGAGCGGACCTGCCGAACGCGAGGTGCGGGCAGAGCGGACATGCCGAACGCGGGGCGCGGGGCCCGGGCGGACATGCCGGCGGGGGGGCCCGGGGCAGGGGGGCCCGGGGGAGGGCGGGCAGGGCGAACGCGGGGCGCGGGCAGAGCGAAACGCGGGGCGCGGGCAGAGCGAACGCGGGGCGCGGGCAGAGCGGCGAACGCGGGCAGAGCGGGCAGAGCGAACGCGGGCAGAGCGGACAGAGCGAACGCGGGCAGAGCAGGACAGAACGCGAACGCGGGCAGAGCGGACAGAGCGAACGCGGGGGCGCGGGCAGAGCGAACGCGGGGCGCGGGCAGAGCGAACGCGGGGAGCGGGCAGAGCGAACGCGGGCAGAGCGGACAGAGCGAACGCGGGCAGAGCGGACAGAGCGAACGCGGGCAGAGCGGGACAGAGCGAACGCGGGCAGAGCGGACAGAGCGAACGCGGGCAGAGCGGACAGAGCGAACGCGGGCAGAGCGGACAGAGCGAACGCGGGCAGAGCGGACAGAGCGAACGCGGGCAGAGCGGACAGAGCGAACGCGGGCAGAGCGACAGACGCGCGGGGTCCGGACAGAGCGAACGCGGGGTCCGGACAGAGCGAACGCGGGGTCCGGACAGAGCGAACGCGGGGTCCGGACAGAGCGAACGCGGGGTCCGGACAGAGCGAACGCGGGGTCCGGACAGAGCGAACGCGGGGTCCGGACAGAGCGAACGCGGGGTCCGGCCAGAGCGAACGCGGGGTCCGGCCAGAGCGAACGCGGGGTCCGGCCAGAGCGAACGCGGGGTCCGGCCAGAGCGAAACGCGGGGTCCGGCCAGAGCGGACAGAGCGAACGCGGGGGTCCGGCCAGAGCGGACAGAGCGAACGCGGGGTCCGGCCAGAGCGGACAGAGCGAACGCGGGGTCCGGCCAGAGCGGACAGAGCGAACGCGGGGTCCGGCCAGAGCGGACAGAGCGAACGCGGGGTCCGGCCAGAGCGGACAGAGCGAACGCGGGGTCCGGCCAGAGCGGACAGAGCGAACGCGGGGTCCGGCCAGAGCGGACAGAGCGAACGCGGGGTCCGGCCAGAGCGGACAGAGCGAAACGCGGGGTCCGGCCAGAGCGGACAGAGCGAACGCGGGGTCCGGCCAGAGCGGACAGAGCGAACGCGGGGTCCGGCCAGAGCGGACAGAGCGAACGCGGGGTCCGGCCAGAGCGGACAGGACAGAGCGAACGCGGGGTCCGGCCAGAGCGGACAGAGCGAACGCGGGGTCCGGCCAGAGCGGACAGAGCGAACGCGGGGTCCGGCCAGAGAGCACAGAGCGAACGCGGGGTCTGGGGTGGAGTAACACTTTACATTTTGGCAATAAAACCTGGAAGCTGATTGGTTTCTATGCAGTCGCTTTTTCACTCTCTGGTTTTAATAAATAAACCTGCAATAAAATCCGTTTTTTTTGGGGGGATCTAAAGTTCCAGGTGAAGCAGCGGGTCATATATGAGGGTCTCTGCAGAGAAGGCAGATGAAGTGTACCTGTCACATAACAGATGGTGGAAGTCCCCAGTAAACACACAAAGCTGTAACAGTCTATTCCCAGTGCAGAGAGCGATGGCAGCCAGTCACTGCCGGGAAGTGAAGGGTACGGCCTTGACGACGGGACAACTACAGGCCGGCTGCACCGAAATGATACCGAGCGTCAGACTTCGGCAATGAGAGAGCCGATAGCAGGAAAGTCCAGAGCTTGTCAAGGACAAGGAGGGAAATTGTAATCAGAGGAGCATTAGGTGCAGAACAAGTCCCACTGATAAGAGGCATTATCTATAATCCTCACATGGTGATCACAGAGGGAGGTCCGGGACAGACATGACACTTCTCCTGTCTGATCCTCAGCCTGGCCTCATACAGGAGCTTTCTGCATCTCTCCTAATGGGTCTGAAGTCCAGCATTGTGACATCGGATGATACAATTTGTGTGACATTAGAGGTTACCCTAAATATCGGTGTCTCGTGAAACATGGAGCTGACCTTTAAACGCTTCCGCGCCGCCCTACAGCAGAAAAAACTGCTACAGGGCAGCATGACTGCGCAAAAATCACATATATATATATATATAGGACAAACACACATACATTTGATTTTGCAACTCCAGGGAGCCCGCACGCCTTACCCACGCCATCAATCACCTGGTCACAACCAGTGATTGCCCGCCGGCACCAGGCGATCATCGAGTATCAGTGATGGGAGAGAGACCAGTGTATAAACAGCACAGACCTCTCCCGTCAGCTCCTGCACGCTGCTTTATATGGCTCTGCATAGCACTCTGCACATGCTCAGTTTGGTGTTTATTGCTATAGAGGTTTTTTTCTTTTCTTTTCTTGGGAGAGTACATGTGATCAGCACAGGGCAAATCAGCACTGTCCAGACAGAGGTCAGGGGTCCTGCATCCTCCTAGAGCAAAAAGAAACCACCTCTGACAAGCTTTAACATATGCTCTGCTGGACACTGATAGAAGGCACAGGATTGCTCTATGCTGCTGATGAGAAAAGGGATTTTGCAGTTTATATTTACTAAAATAGCCATACAACGCAGTGCGCTTACAGTGTAAAGCACACACAGCACAGTTAACCCTTTGATCGCCCCTCATGTTAACCCCTTCCTCCCCAGTGCCATTAGTACAGTGTCAATGCTTTTTACTAGCACTGACCACTGTATTGGAGTCACTGGGGATGTCAGTGACACCAAGTCAGTTCCCACCCCCCCCCCCCAGTGTCAGAATTCCCGCCGCAGTCCCGCTATAAGTCGCTGATCGCCACCATCACTAGTATGGAAAAAAAATAATAAAATTCCAGTATATATCCCGCCATTTGTAGATGCTATAACTTTCTGCCCCCCCAACAAGCGCACGGGCCGCCCCCCTCCACCCCCCACACAGGCGCACGGCCACCCCTCCACCCCCCACACAGGAGCACGGCCGCCCCCCACACAGGAGCACGGCCGCCCCCAACACAGGAGCACGGCCGCCCCCAACACAGGAGCGCGGCCGCCCCCAACACAGGAGCGGCGGCCGCCCCCAACACAGGAGCACGGCCGCGCGGCCGCCCCCCCCACACAGGCGCGTGGCCCGCCCCCCACACAGGCGCGCGGCCGCCCCCCACACAGGAGCACGGCCGCCCCCAACACAGGCGCACGGCCGCGCCCCCAACACAGGAGCACGGCCGCCCCGGCCGCCCCCCACACACAGGCGCGCGGCCGCCCCACACACAGGCGCGCGCAGCCGCCCCACACACAGGCGCATGGAATGCCAAAAAGGAGACTCTACATGGCTGACCTGAACACTGGGCCTTGGTGATGAGACCTCCAGGGTACAGCCCGTGGGTCAGTGTTCTGGTTCCGTGACAGTCATGTGTTGATGGGTGACACATCCACTTACAGGCCGTCACCAAGAAGTCTTCTCTTTTCTGGAAGGAATTATTCGCTCACAGAGTTACAAGAACAGAATTTCCTGTCTTCTCTCTGCAGCCGCTGCTATCGATGGCGATCATCGTTCTGCAAGTCTTCCTTCCTCCATTAGTCAGTCTACCGAGGAGCCTCACAAACAGCCTGGGGTCACGCCGGCCACACACACCTAGACTTCTCTCATTCATCCCCGCAGTGTAAACGAGATCGATCGATTCTTCATCCCCCACTGACCACATGGAGGAAGGGGGAAAT